CATATGTCTGTCGTCAGCACTTGAGAGGAGGGGGGCAGGAGGACACCTAGGGTTTGTTGACCAGCCAGCCTAGTCAAACTGGTGAGCCCGGTAAGAGACCTAGTCTCAGAAAATACTATGGAAAGACTCCCAGTGGTGACCCTTGACCTCCACATGTACGGATGCGCACACTTCATCTCCATCGGCAATCTCCTTCCAGCCTGCTCCTCAGCCTCCAGCAGCCTGCACTTCACTTTGTCACCAGGGTTCCCTTCTGACTGTCACTCTTAATTGGAATCATACACTAAGTGGCATTTTTGTGTCTGGCTCCTTTTCCTTAAGGTAGGGTTGCGGGCTCCATCCGTGTTACTGCGTTCCAACGTCCTTTGATGGTCACTTAATATTCTTTTGGATAGATACACCGCAGCCTATGGCTCCCTCCCTCCCCAGTCAACGGGCCTTTGGTTTATTCCCACTTTCTGGCTGTTTGAAATAGTGTTGCCATGAGCGCTTGTGCCCACGTTCCTAAGTGGATGTCTGTGTTCCAGTTTCACTCTGTTGCTATGAAAGTCTCGGCAGCTTGGGGAGGAAAGAGTTTCTTTGGCTCACGCTTCCAGGTTACAGCCCGTCAGTGATGGAATTCAGGGCAGTTACTGAAGCAGAAGCCACAGAGGAGTGCTGCTCACTGGCTCACTCCTTGATGCCATGCTCAGCTCCCTTTGTCATACAGCCCACCTGCCTAGGGATGGTTCTGCCCACAGGGGACTGGCTCTCCCACGTCAGTGAAGATCATTCTCACAGACGTGGCCATGACCCCATCTGATCTGAGCAGTCCATCAGTTGAGACTCCCTCAGTAGATTTTAGCTGTGTCAGATTGACATTGGACACTAACTAGGACATTATGCTTTAATTCTAGTTGGGTGCCCGGGGTCCTCCAGCTGACTCCTGGATTCAGTGGTTCTGTGGGAGATCTTGCTGTCAGGCTCAGTGCACGGTCTTGATCACAGCTGTAGTTTATTAAAGCAATGGACACGCAACCAAGTTAACCAAGGAGCCAATGGCGGGGGGCAGCAGTCTGGAGCATACCAGGTGCAGCTTTCAAGTGTGCCCTTCCAGGGAGGCCGCACAGGATGCACCTGCAGCATGAGATTGTGACTGTGTAAGGGACTCTTACCATGTGTTCGTGCGCCTTAGAGATTGGTCACGTTAGCACCCTCTGCCTAATGTCCTGAAATCCCAGGCCACAGGCAGAAAAGCAGACTCCATGTACATGTGTTTGTATTGTCTTGGTTCAGTGACTCTTCTTATCAGTTAGCCAGGTGTGGAACACTCTAGAAATTCATCTACCCAGAGGCTGGCTGAAGCCCAGCCTGGGAAGCAGGCTTTCTGAGGATGGACCTCCTTAACCTCCTAGGCTGATGCATTTTTCCCCACAGCCTTTTTTACCTGTGATCATCTTACCTAGAAATACTGGGTTAAAGGCTAACCTCCCTTGTCTTGGTTTTTATTGGTAGCACAACCAAGAGTCACCTAGGATCAGAATGTCTCAGTGGTAGGCTTGCTTACGTCAGTTTGGTCTGTGGTCTGTGGAGAATTGTTTTGACTGTTGGTTGATGTGGGAGGGGCCCAGCCCACTTTGGGCAGCACCATTTCTAGGCTTCCAAAGTGAGCAAGCGAACCAGGTACAGTGTGTCTCCTGGGCTCTGCTCCAGGTTTCTGCCTCGGCTTCCCGTGGTGATAGACTGTGATGTGGAACTGTAATTTCTCCAGGTTGCTTTGGTTACAGTGTTTATCATGATAGAAAAAGAAACCAGACCACTCCACATGGGAACCTTTTCCTGCCGATCTCCATCACTACCCGCCATTGATGAGACCTTCCCTGCATCCCTGCCAATGCTTGTTACTGTCATCGTTCTGTATATAGCCATCCTTATGAGACCAATGGGGCTTTAAGTGAGTGATTTGTAAAAAGGAATGATCAGAGGCAGCCAAAACGGTTCTTCAAGAACAAGCTTGCCAGCCTGAGCCCGGTTTCCTTCACTGTCTGTGTACAAATGTGGAGATGGGTGTTGCTGGTAAGCTCTTGTCTGGTGGTCAGCAAGTGATGCTAGATCTGAGAGGAAGGCCTCTGGTGACTCCTTGCCCTTAGCCCAGCCATACCCTTATGTCCCAAATACGGGTTGCACACAGATGCCAGCTTGTCTAGTCCAGTTTGCCGGTTGTCCAAAGCAGGCAGACATTGAACATGGGGGATTCGGAGGTTAGGCTGGGGGAACCTGTTGGCAGAGCAGGGCTGTTCAGGTAGGGGCACAGGAGAGTTTGGTCCCCGAGGAGGGAGGGAGGGAGAAAGGAGTGGTGAGTGTGTGGCACGAAAGATGCTTCTTGACTCTGGGCACTAGGGGAGAACAGATTAGATGGGTTCAGGAAGGATTGGTGACATTCTGCAGTTGATGGGTCTGTCCAGTAAGGTGGTGAGCCCCACATCATTGGGAGTATTCAATGTCCTTAATGTTCTACTTAGGAATGTGGCTGAGACAGGAAGTAGCCTGAGTGACCTAGGAGGTCTTTTAGGACCTTAAGATTACATCATGCCTTTGGACAAGGTCTCCTTGTGTGTACCTGTCTGACCAAGCGTTTGGGACCCAGAGGACTCCTCTGGGGACTGTCTCTCTGAGCAACCCTTGCTCAGTGGCCGGTTCCCACCCAAATCACAGAGTCCACACAGGGTCTCCTGGCCATGGCTTAAGCTGCAGGGCTAGTTTTCCTGTTTGTTCTTTCATTCAACGCTTCAGCAGATATTTAACAAGCCTCCGCCATGTGCCAGTGCCAGAGGGTGGTAGGTATGCCACGTGAAGCGGGGTAGGAGGCTGATTTGATGGCAGTGGGGAAACCCTTGATCCCGGGCACCAGGGCTCTTTTCTGCTTGTTCGTTTTTGAGGCAGGGTCCCGTGCAGCCCAGACTGGCCTCTAACACATTATATAAACAGCTGATGTGGAACTGGAACATGGGCTGCCTCAGGCGGGACTGGAACTGACGACTCCCTGTACACACATCCTGTAGCTGGGGCCTGAAGGAGGATGAGCAGCTGGTAGGGGGAGAGGGTGGGGCTGCTGGGAGAACATTGCCTCCACGTGCAGCTCAAACTGTAGCCCACGCCCAGGCCTAGCAGGCACTTGCTAGGTGTGTGCATGCTCATCTGGTGCCCAAGCATCTCAGCCTGAGGGGTGGCGCGTGCGTGTTTGAGGGTTTGCACATAGAGGCAATTGTGTGCCTTTCCGGTCCAGCCCCAGGTGACAAGGGGATCATTTGTGCCTTTGGCCACCTCTGTCCTCCTCCACTGATGCAGCTGGCAGGTCACAGCCTCGAGGGGACGGCTCTGAATATACACCTGTGATCCTCATGACTCCTCCTGAACACTCGTTTCTTTCTAAGTAGGGGTTGGTTCAGGGTGGGGTGCGGCATCCTACACAGCTCTGCTGTGCTCTGTGTTCTGAGATCTTGTTGCTGCTGCCTACCCTGCCGCCAACTGCACTGGTGGCGGGGGCGGGGGTGGGGGCAGGGGGTGCATAGGAGAGAGGGAGGGAGGGAGGGAGGGACTCCATTCTTCCTCCACGCGAATACCCAGCAATTATTCTCTGTTATTGCCACTTGGAGATAAGTAGAAAATAACAGAGGAGTGGGGGCGGGCCTCCAGGCCCGTGCCGAGCCCCTGCCTTGCTCTGCCAGGACGCTGGCATGAGCCATGGGAGCAGGGAGCCGCACAGTGGCTGTGTGTGATGGGGGCCTGCTGCTCTGGGTGACAGACGCAGTCCAGTCTGGCTAGCTGTGCTATCCTTCCCAATTTACTTCTTGGAGCCTCAGTGTCATCATTTGGGCCGGTCAGAGTCCAGGCCGCACTCCCATGAGGTTATAGCAACAGCGATTACCTGAAGAGATGGCCTTTAAGCCTGGGTACTAGGGAAAAGGCTGACCACTGGGAATGCAGGGGTTGGCAGGCAGGCACTACCACAGGAAACACAGGACAGAGTAAACCAAGGCATGGCAGTGTTCGGAAACCCTGGGAACCTGCAGATACAGGTTGAAGGGCTGTAGCAGCTCAAATAGCAGCATGCTCCCCCTAACATGCAGAACACCCTGCTCCCAGCCCAGAACCACATGAGAGGTACAGACAGGAGGACCAGAGGGTTAAGATTATCTTTGGCAGTGGAGTGAGCTAGGGGCCAGCCTAGACTACATGAGATCTTGTCTCAAAAAAAAAAAAAAACAAGAAAGCCCCACTCCACCCCACTGTCACCGCAGAGCTTTGCCCTGCGGCCCTCTTCCTGCCCCCTGCCTTGCAGAAGTGAAAGGGATGGAGTAAGAGAGACTGTGGGCATTCGGGAGCAGGGTGGGGAGATTGTCACCGTGTCCGTCAGCCTCCAGGCTGAGGGCAGCTAGGGAGCAAGCACCCGAGGAACCTTTAAACTGAGTAACAGGCCTCAGGCACTCTGATAGTGTGTACCATGTCCTGGGCTGGGATAACAAATGGCAGTGACCAGCTAGGGTCCAAATAGCCCAGGGTGCCTAGGTCAGGTCAGCACAGTCCATAGAGACTCACATGTCTTTAGGGGACAGACCTGACACTTCTAAACCAGAGAGTGTGCATCCCATCCCACTCTTTCCCTGACCACCTGGAAAGTTTACCTGGCTGGTTCCTTATCTCTGAGCCAGTTCCTTATGTATTGGCTTTCCACACAGCTCTGATAGGTAGGCTCCTACCACTGAGCCACACTCCCCGCCTGTGAGGTTTCCCTCTTCTTTCTGGCTTTTCTCTTGGCCTAGAAGGAAGCTCGAATTCAGTCAGAGCTTAAGGTTCCTTCTGGGAAACCTGTGTGTGGTCTTCCGTGTGTGGATTGACGGCTGTCTACACAGCTCCGTCTGGGGCTAAAATCAGGCTGAGACCTAGGTAGAGGGTATGGCGGGTGCTTCTGGCCACCAGCATCGTCTCACCGGGGCCTGGTCCCCTGCTCTTTCCCGCAGATGATGCGGTTTTCGTGGCAGAATTACCGCCGTTATGCGATGGGCAAGAATGAGCTCCGGCCACTCACAAAGGACGGCTTCGAGGGCAGCATGTTTGGTGAGTTGACACAGACCACAGGGCGGCAAGTGCAGCTTCTCTCTGGTCTGTCACTTTCTGGGCTCTCCCAAGCTTCTCTGGACTCAGAGGACTCAGGTGCTTCTGTCAGCTTCTTATTTGCATCCTCGATTCCACGCAGTGGAGCTTGGGAAGGTGAGCATGGTGAGGGACAGGGAGCATGGAAGACTGGGAAGGTGGCATCGGCTCCAGAGACAGCGAACATGTGTCTAAAGAGGCCCGGTTGGGCTGCCTTTAGATAAAGTCTTGGAGTGTCCTTCATGTTGCCTGGTGACAGCAGGTCAGCCACATGCCCTTATGTTTCTCCTGAAGCCTTCTGGCTGGGCCCCTTCCCTACTGCATTCTTTGAACCCAGAGCCCCTCTCTGCATCTCCCGCAGGCTGCAAGCTCACCCTCCATTTTGGATGTCACTCCTTTGCCCGTCATGGTGCTAGCTCCCACTCTATAGCCCCTCTAGAGAGAAGATGCTGGGGGCAGCCTGAGCATCTCCTTCCTTTAGGGAAAGATGCTATGCTGGACCAGATAATGGCAGCACCATACCCCCCCCCACACACACACACATACTCCTCACTCCCAAGGAATACAGGCTACTGGAGTTGGATCCAGAGAAGCAAGCCTGATACAGAAACCCCGAGGAAGCCTGAAGGGATATCTGGGGCTGGGGCCTGTGTGTGGACCCCAGTATCGGGATTGGCGTTACAAGAAATGTGACCCAGACCTACAATCTCCTCCAGTAGTCAGCACCGGAGGACCTCTGCCTGTCCAGATGAGTCACCCCTGTGGCAGTGGCAAGGGACATGGATTTGAGCAGCTTCACGCGTTTATGAATGGAGGACAGGGGATCCAAAAAGTAGAAAGTGGGCAAAATAAATAGACAGAACACAGTTGCTCTGTCTCATAAATGTAGCCACTGCTGACGTCACTGCTGATGTAATAGCTGATGTCACTGTGACGTCGCTGCTGATGTAATTGCTGACATCACTGCTGACGTCTCTGTTCATGGCCTTCCAGTTTTTCCTCTGTGCATTTGCCTTTGTGTATACAGTTTGAGCTCTATGGGAGGGACTTTTGTATTGGCAGTGGTGGCTCAGGCTTTTGATCCCAGCACTCGGGAAGCAAAGGCAGGGGGTCTCTGAGTTTGAGGCCAGCTTGGTCTACAGACTGACTTCCAAGATAACTAGGGCTATATGGATAAACCTTGTCTTGAAAAAAAAAAAAAGCAAACAAAACAAACCAAAAGAATGTGTATTGGTTGGTTTTCTCATTTCTATGGCCGAATATTTGACAAACATCAACTTAAGGAAGTTTCTCTTGGCTCACAGTTTTAGGGCACACGGTCTATCTTGATGGGAAAGGGCTGGGGCGGAGTGTGTTGTTATTGTTTCCATGGTGAGGAAGCAGAGGGAGGGGCTCAGCTTTTTCATGCAGTGTGTTTCCTGAGCAACATGCAGAGAGGTGTGTCTCTCTGTGATTTTTAAATCCAGTCATGTTGACAGGGAAGATCAACTGTCACAGAGTATTTGTATTAAAATTTTAGAAAATCTTTGAGCCAGGCGTGGTGGCATATGCTTTCAACCTAGCACTTGAGAGGCAGATGCGGGAGATCTCTGCATTTAAGGCCAGCCTTGGCTACATAGTGCTATCTAGGACAGCCAGGGCTACATAGACTCTGAAAAGACCAAGCAATAATAACGATAATAGTAAATACTGGAGGTGCTTCTCCCTATGTTGGCCAGGTTGATGCTGAGCCCCTGAGCTCCGACAGTCCCTCTGCCTCCGCTTCCTGAGTGGCCGGGAGTGTAGTCTGCTCAGCTCACATGAAATGACTTTACTGGTTTGGCTGACTGTATGGCTGTGTCACCGTAATTCATGGAGCCGGCTCACTAAGGGACCAAGGTTGTTTCTGCTTTGTTCCCATTAAGAATTGTAAGAGTTTCACTCCAGGCATGACCTTTGACTTGGGCGTGACCTCCTGAGGATAACTCCAGGGTTGGTTGGTGGGGAAGAGATGGTCTTGGACCTCAGCATACAGTAGGAGGATCTCTGTCAGGAGGCTGGCTGCCTCTTCTCTCCAGCACACAGACCTGCCACCGGGTGTCCGGCCCAGCCTCAGGGGTGGGGAGCTGGGTGGCTCTTCCCAAAGCTGTTGAAGTGTAGGCTGGCAGGGTAGGTGGGAACATAATAAGAAAGCACCCCTTCCTTCTCTGCGAGGGACTGCTGTTGTCGGTTGGGTGTCTAGGTTTGAACTGTTCAGCATAGACCCAGCTGTTGCCTAGTTTTACAGGGAGCATGTGTAGGAGGGATGGGCCTCAGTCGGGCTCCATTTGGTACAGTCCCCAGGGAAAAGGATTTAGTCACATTCTTCAGGACTTCACTCTGTAAGGGAGATCACTAGGGAACCAGACAATGGAAAGAACAAATCCCTTGAATTTGAAGACCCGAGTGCACATCCTCCCTCTGTCCTTAGTTGTATGGCTGTGCCCAAGGCACTTAACCTCTCTGGGCTCCAGATGCTCCTTTTGTCCTGCAGCTTCTGTGAGGACAGCCATGGGAGTGTGTGAGCACTCAAACGACCAAGCCTTAGGAGCGAGCCGTGATTTGCACGGATGTCAACGGGAGCAGCCTTGTCACAGGAAACCTGCAAGGGTCCTGAGGTCCTTGGGTGTTCTGATGGCTAGAGTGCTAGGACTACCCATCGCCTGGTCCCCACAGCACTGCTGGCAGTAAGCAGGCTCCGCCCTCCATGGTGTACCTGTGCCCTGGGGAAGGGAGGGGTGGGGCCTGTAGTCAGGAAGACTGTTTTGATCCATTTGTGCCTTTACTCTCCACAGTGTTGGGTGCTGGGCCTGGGGTCCGCTGCCTGGAACTCAAGGGGTGAGTGACAAGGTAGAATCTCCACCAGTCTACCAGACTACGCTAGCGCCCCCTCCTGGCAGTTTCTGGGATTGCAAGGTCTTCAGAAAGGGACAGGTAGAGCTGACCATAGACCATGCCATAACTAGTTCTTATTGGCGTAACATTCTACAGTCAGATAGACCTGGGTTCAAACCCAGGCTCACAGCTTCCATGCTGAGTGACCTTGGGCTGGTCATTTCTCCCTGTTAGCTATTTCTGGGAGCTGGAGCCACTGGTGACGCTGAGTGCAGCCTGGTCCTGCCTGTCTTAGAGCCCCTATTAGTGGGTGACAGTTCTCAGAGTCCATGAGATCACATGGAAAAGACAAGAGCGAGGGAGAGGATCCCAATGGCAGGAGCGGGTGCCCGGACCTGAGTCCAGCCCTGTGCCTCGCTCCTGCTTCCTCTCCAGACTCTGTAGGGGCTGTTGGGTGGCCTCTAATGCCATCAGTGACCTCAAGTATCCTGAGGTCTGTAGACACAGGATGCCCCAGGGTGGCCAGGAATAGGCAGATCCATCCTTCCCAGCCCTGCTGTGTGCAGGGCTTAGACAGGACAGACTCCCACAGTCTGGGTGCCTGCATGTGAGGAAGGTCCTGAGTTCACACTGGTGCCTCCCTTTGCCAAGATCTACAAGAGCTCTGGTGAGAATGGCCACTGCCTGAGTGTGGTCTCCCTGTGTGGCCCTTCCCCGTGCCAACCACCCCGTGCTGCCCCGTCCTTCCTCAGATCAAAGCTTTTCTCTCTCTGAGGGCAGATCGTCCTGCTGAGGCGTCTCTCCAGCTTGGTTTTGTGAGGTATTCCACTATCTCAATAGCTTGTTCTCATCCACATCCGGCTCAGCAGGCCCCATCGAAAGACACTCCCAAGGCCCCACTGGCCACCAGAGAAGACAGTCCACTCTTGGCCTGTCACTCAGGCCAGAGTGCATGACTTTCCCTTCCTCTGTAAGCTCGCCAGATGGGACACTTCCTCCCCAGCTGGATGGCAGAGGGGCCTGGACTTCTGGTCCAGATAAGCATGCATAGCTCTCTGCAGAGCTGACAGGGCCTCAGTTTCCTGGGACTGTGATGATCATAATTATTGTCTATATTTTATACATTTTATTTGCTTACTTTGTGTGTGGGGGGCACAGATATACAACTTTGTGCAGGTGGAGATCAGCAGTTAAGTCTTCTTTTATAACACGGGTCCTGGGGACGGAACACTGGTTGTCCGGCTTCTTGGTGGGTGTCTATCTGATGAGCCATCTTGCTGGTCTGGTTATTAGGGAGATGATTAGCAGGGAGATGTTTGTGCACAGGACCCAGCCTCCAGCACCAGGGAGGCATGTGGTCAGCTGCTCTTCCTGTTCCTGTCACAGAGGCCAGTCTTCAGCCTGGGACAGTGTGTATGTACGTGTGTTGGGGGGAGGGACACAATGGTAGGAGAGCCAGCCACAGATTGGCAGTCACCAGGTTGTAAAGCAAGTGACTTGGTGTACAGAGGCCCAGTCTCTTTGCCTGTAGAAAAGGCCAGCCACTAATACCTACAGCTAGAACGTAGGAGACTGAGAAGTAAACTCACTGAGAGGCCCTGTCTCCACAGCCAGAGGGCAGGGGGTTAAGAACACTCTGCTGTTCCTAGCTGTGTGATCTTGGGCTAGTTTCCTAACTTCTCTGGGCCTGTTTGCCCATCCATGCAGTGAGTTAATGTTTCCTTCCCAGGATTGTTTTTAAAGGAAGCGGCTAGCACACACAAACTGATGTGCATGCCTAGCATGTAGGCTGCACTCTGCAGATGTCCAGCACCGTGAGCATAGCTCAGGAAGGGCCCGAGGTCAGATTGTGCTGCTCCTGTGTTGTAGGGACATGCCCAGAGTCCCTGGACCCAGAAACCCACGTAAGGGCCACAGGGCTGTCCCCCATCCCTGTCACCCTGGTAGGAATGGCATCTGAGCAGTGTCCTAGAATCCTGTTGTTGGAACAGAAGGTTCCAGGTGTCCAGGGCAAGTGATGAGCGGCACCCCGTCTTTGCATTCTACGTCAGCCAGTCGTGACTGCACTTAGGGATCGAGCATCCTTCTGTGCAGTGAGAACTCCGCCCCTT